GGTAAAGTTTAATTCATGATATTAATGAGAGGCATAATGGTCTTATGACGTACCGAGAGATTTTATTAACGTATTTCATATGTATTTCATGCATTTATGACCCACGACCAGATGGCGTTATATATATATATATATATATATATATATATATAGTATATAGTATATATAGTATGTTATGTATATATATATTTTCAATTATAATTTCTTGTAGTATATATAGTGTGTTATGTATATATATTATAGCTTATAAAGAATTGCAAGTTAAAGACAAACAAATATTGCAAAGAGATATTCAAGGGAATGTCTTATAATTTTTATTACCAAAAATGGCATATCTTTCTTAGTCTTCTTCCCCCCAATGGAATGAGCACAACAAGGTGCTAATACCACCATTAAATGGGAAAAAAAACTAAAGAAGATGTGCCAAAGTACAAGTTACACCATACTCTACATTGTATCTCTAACAAATCTCATAAATCCTTCAAGGTTCGGAGGAGGTTCCGTTGGTGGTGGCGGAAAAGAAGCTTGTTCATCACCGCTTCCGGGCGAAGCAGCATCCTCCCCAAGTTCCGCTATCATTTCTTCATAAGCTTCGTCTATCTCCGGTTGTGATCCTGGTTGAACTAGATTTGAACCTGTACTAGGGTTAACCGCAGTATCTACACTTGTCCCCTCTTGTTGCGCTTTCATTTGTAAATATTTAACTTTATCTCTAGGGTGTGTTTGTATGNATTTTATTAACGTATTTCATATGTATTTCATGCATTTATGACCCACGACCAGATGGCGTTATATATATATATATATATATATATATATATGTATATGTATATGGGATATGGGAAAGGTAATGGCGTTATATACGCACCACCACCTGATCAGCTGGTATACGTTGATGATTTGCCCATAGTGGTCGAGATGATATGATCGGATGCCCTCAGAGGCTTGATGATGCTATGAACACATATACCCATGCATGGTATGACATTTATACGCATATGCATGACATTTTAAAAATGAAATGATTCACAGACCTATGCAAACGTACATGTCGAGTCTTTTACTCCATGTTTCTCTCATGTCTATTATTTACTGATTTTCATTCCTTACATACTCGGTACATTATTTGTACTGACATCCCTTTTGCATGGGGACGATGCATTTCATGCCCGCAGGTCATGATAGACAGGTCGAGAGCCCTCCAAGTAGGCTATCAGCTCAGCGGAAGATGTTGGTGCGCTCCATTTGCTTCGGAGTTTCTTGTTGGTTAGTATAATTTAGATGTGTATTGTTTGGTATGGCGGGATTGTGTTCCGACCTTTATGAAAATTATGTATTCTTAGAGGCTTGTAGACAGATGTCATGTACGTAAAAGATTGTATGGCCTTGTCGGCCTATGTTCAGTGTATGAGTGGTTATTTTGGCCTTAAGGGCCCGTATGCCTTATGTATAAGTTGGTATCACATTTTGTATTCTACTTATCTCACGGCAGCCTTCCGACTCAATTATCTATGATAGTATGACATGAAAAGATACGTTATGTTGGTACTCGGTTGAGTAAGGTACCGGGTGCCCATTGCGACCCATCGGTTTGGGTCGTGACAGTTTCAATGGCTGAGAATAAAACTGAGAGGCGTTAAAAATAAAAGGAAATCCAGTTGAATTATGGACTGTTGATCGGATGAATCAACGGCTCTGATGCGTGTGTTTCTTATGTGAGTATGGGTGGATGGCGACGTGGCGCGAGCAGATTGGTTCAGAGAGGTGGTCATGGATCGCCAAAGTAGAAGGGGGGGGAGGGTTATTGGACTAGGTATTTTTCGGATTGGGCTTAGTATTTGGCCAAAATTAATTTAAATGGTAGCCATTGTATATTTAATCGAGGATTGCAATTATAGCCTTTTAGTCTTTGAATACTTTAAAAATTAATTTAAATAAACCTAATTATTTCCAATAAAATATAGTAAAATTATAAATGTGAAATATACTACTAATTATTATAATTAATGGAAGATAAACAACTCCCAAAAAAGTGCTCTGGCGATTAGGGTTTTTGTAAAGACTGTACGTAAAGCTTCACGAGCTCTTTCTCGGAATCGTCGACCACTAGCCAGCCACCTGAAGGGCTGGTCAGTCATCCGCACCTCCCTCACAACCTACTACAACCATTACACCCACAAATCCAATCCAAAAATACGCTGATCTCTTATAACCAAAATTATTAAATACTCCCATGTAAACCCTTGTCGTCGTTCCTATAAAACCAGTGGAGTATTTACATGGAGAACCTATCATACGTTGGAAAAAGGAGGAAGTGAACCGGTTCATCGTTAAACAAGGCTTGCAACTGGCAGTTTTGGGTAAATTTTTTTATGGGAAGTCAGTGATCAACGAGTTGTGCAAAGTTATACCTATACAATGTGAGTTGAAAGGTGCTTGTTCTATAGGTATTCTTGAAGATAATCATGTGCTAATCAGGTTATCATTATTAGAGGATTATGTTCATCTACTCCCAAAGCCAGCCTTTTATTTGAAGGCACAAGGTGATATGTGGCAGATGCGATGCACTAAGTGGAATCCATGGTGGAAACCTGATGAAGAAACTCCCATTGTTATTGCGTGGATTAGCTTCCCAAAATTTGTGTTTTCACTTGCAAGGGCAGTAGGTATTCCACTTCATGTTGATTTGGCTACACAAAATGGCACAAGACCTAGTTGTGCTAAAGTTAAGGTAGAAGTGAATTTATTTGCAAAACTCCCTCAAAGACTAAGATTGTGGAAGAAGAAGATGAGACTGGGCCGGAGGAGTCTAAATGGATGAAGATTAAATATGATTACTTGCCAAAATATTGTAAGACATGTAGAAAGCAAGGGCACAATGAAGTTGAATGCTGGATAATTCGTCCAGAATTGCATAAGAGGGATGATGACAAAGAGGAGGAGCAAACTACTGGAAAGGATGAAGTTGGTACGGTAGCTAACTCAACTAAAGTTTTGTCAAGTGGAAAAGTGGTAGGTAAACCAATCACAAATAAGGCTAATCAGGAGTGGATTCATGCAAGAAAGAATAAGTATCAACGAGATAATAGGGGTCATATAATTGACAATGTAAAGGAGAAGGAAGCTGACAATTAAGGGAAAGGCCAAAGTTGATGCAGTGGCAATGAAGAACAAATTTGATGCATTATAAGTGGAAGAATGTGATCAAACTACATTGAGGATTACTGAAGGTAAAGGAGAAGACAAGGGCAATGACAAAAAGAAGGAACAAGGGGATAATCAAGCCAAGAAGGTACAGGAGAAGGAGAAGGTGCAAAATTCTGGAAATTCCATCCTTATCCTAATGGCAATGGGATTAGGTTAGCTGGGAAAGAAGGAAGTTCTAATCCTATTAAAGGAGAGATTCAAAATCTTGAAGAAATAAGCATGTGAAAAAAGAAGCAGTGGAAAAGGTATTGGCCAATGAGAAAAATGGGAATTCTACTCCTACAGGGATTGTCAAATTTGTAGGTAATCGGTCTAGGTCAGTGGAAAAACAAGAAATTACCAATCCTTCATGAGAAAGGAATAAGGCAGCTGAGTCCGCTCCTAGTCCTACTGATAATAGGGGTAGAGATGAGTTAAGAAAGGAAAGAACATTGGGTGGCTAGAAGATTTGGTACAGCTCGTGAAGATATAAAGGTCGCTACTAATTACTCATGTCAAGAAATTCCATCACAAACACTCGATGATAGCTCAAAGGGAATTGAAACATATCACTCAAATACTGATGCAAGGAAAACATAGGGAGAAGAAGTTGAGAAGTTGAAGATCACAAATGCAACTGATATGATTGTCGATGACAATGACATAGATGACACTCAACAAGAAGCTAATGGTGATAGAGGATCATCAAAAGAAGCTGGAATTCAAGAAGGATCGGCTAATGCAATGTTAGCCAAGAAACAGGCCACTGGAACAGTAAAATCTAGGAATTCTGGGGAGATTTTGGCAAATGTTGATGGTATTCCGGAGTATTTTTTAGGGAGCAGGATGAGAATGTCAATGTGGAGGTATTGAAGGATACAGTGGGATCAGATCGCCAAACAGTTGATGGGAAGGGTAGTAATCCCAATGGAACAGTAATTTCTGGGAATTCTGCTATAGTGAACCCTAGCCTAGGTTCTTTTTGTGATTTACAATTTAAGATTATGCAGGAGAATCTGGGGATTATGGAGAACAATTCTGAGTCATTGAAGGAGGCAACAATGAGGGCACATGATTAGATTGAGCAAGCCATAGTACCTAGGGAATCAGGGGCAATTGAGACAGTGCCTATGGCATGTTCAAGCAATGATCAGACTATGTAGCTAAACCTCAATGTACCTATAAAGTCACCATTGCAGATGTTACATGACATTGTCACACACAATGTGGCACCCGTGGATGTAGTTGTCCTGGATCAACAACAAATGGAAGAAGATTGAGATGATGAATCAACTATTGGCAATTTTAAACAAGTGGCAAGAGAGGTAGATTTATCACCTAAAACCAGTGCAAAGGGAGGCAAGAAATCAAAGAAGTAGACTCAGAATAAGGAACTTCTACAACCGTCAAGAATCATGCCCAGGAGGGCAGCTTCACAAACTAAGTGATGATGATCAAGAGACTGATTTGGAACATAAGGTCTGTGAATACTCAGCAGGACTTTCCTAGAGTGATCAACATGCAAAAGGAGCACAATTTCTTTGTCATTGCATTGATGGAGCCATTTTCAGAAGAAAGGATTTATACAAAGATATAGGATAAGGTTGAATATGGAGACAACTTTTTCGAACATTAATGGGAAGATTTGGTTGTTTTTTGATGTTGTGGTGGAATGGGAATTGGTTGTTGATGCTGAGCAATAGGTGACTGTCAAAATATTTCACCATGACATTGGGAAGCACATCATGATGACTTTTGTTTATGCAAAGTGTTCTGCATTAGAGAGACTGGAATTGTGGGATAATTTATATTACATGGCAAGTGATATGGAGTTGCCTTGGCTAGTAGGAGGGGATTTTAATGTGATAGTACATGAAGATGAGAAGATAGGGGGGTTGCCAGTACAACCTCCTGAATATGATGATTTGTCCTTTTGTGTAAACTCATGTGGATTGTTTGATCAAGGGTACAAAGGCATTCCATTTACACGGTGGAATGGAAGACCCAATTTTGAGTGTATATTTGAGAGATTGGACAGGATTTTTGTGAACTTGCCATTTCAGAATATGATGCCAACAATTGAAGTGGAACATTTGATAAGAACTAGATCAGATGATGCCCCAGTAATCATGAGATGTGGGGAGCAAACCACAAATTTTACAAACCATTCAGATTCTTGAATTTCTAGACAATACATGCTACATATATGGAAGTGGTGAAAAAGAATTGGAATGCTGATTTTATTGGAGATCCATTCCTAATGTTCAAGCACAAACTCAAGAAGGTGAACACAACATTGTCTAAATGGAGTAGGGATACATTTGGTGATATTTTCAAAAAGTTAGCTATATTAGAAGATATTGTTAGGGTAAAGGAGATGTTGTTTGAGGAGGAGCCAAATATAGAGAATAGGATAGTTCTTCAGAAAGCTCAATCAGAGTTGAAGAAGTACTTAAGTATAGAAGAGCAATACTGGAAGCAAAAGGCTGTAGTGACATGGTTTGCTGAGGGTGATAGGAACACTAGTTTCTTTCACAACCATGTTAATGGCAAGAGGAAGAAACTGCAATTGAAAAGGATTCAGAATGGAGATGGAACATGGCTTGAAGATCAAGAGCAGATGGCTAATACAACAATTGAATTCTATCAAAGATAGTTCTCAAAGGAGGGAGATCTTACTGATTTCTCTATGTTGGAAAATGTCCCAACTATGGTGACCATGGAGCAGAATTTGGAGCTGTGTAGATTTCCAACATTAGAAGAGGTCAAGGCTACAGTTTTTGAATTAAGTGGAGATAGTGCCAATGGTCCAGATGGATTCACTGGACTTTTCTATCAAACATGTTGGGAGGTGATATGCTATGATATTCACAATATGGTGCTTCATTTCTATGGTGGTGCAGCTTTGCCAAAGTCCATTACTCACACTAATTTGGTGTTGCTGCCAAAGAAGCCAAGGGTCCAGACATTCCCAGACTTAAGACCAATAAGTTTGAGTAATTTCATCAACAAAGTGCTTTCAAGAGTTATTCATGACACATTGGAGAAGTTCCTGCCTAGCTATATATCTCCAAACCAATCTGGATTTGTGAAAGGAAGGAGAATCTTTGAAAACATCCTCCTAACACAGGAAATTGTCACTGATATCAGGAAGAGAGGCAAGCCTGCTAATGTGGTGATAAAGATTGATATGACAAAGGCATATGATAGGGTGTCATGGAAATATTTGATGCATGTTCTAAGAAAATGGGATTTGCTGAACACTTATCAATATGGTTTGGAACCTACTCTCTAATAATTGCTATTCAGTTTTGGTTAATGGACAAACATCAGGTTTCTTCAACAAGAGGGGTGAAGCAAGGAGATCAATTATTCCCTGCCTTATTCATATTATCTGATGAAGTTCTATCTAGGTCTTTGAACAAACTGTTTGAAGATAAGTCCTTTACTGGATTTGGCATGCCTAAATGGTCTGATCCTTTGAATCATTTGGTATATACTGATGATACAATTATATTTGCCTCAGCTCATCCTCCCTCTTTCAGTAAAATTATGGCAGTATTAGGAGGCTATGTGCAGATTTCTGGACAGCTGATTAAAAAATCGAAGAGCTCTTATTCCATGCATAAAAATGTTGCACATACCTTATTTTAAGCAGTTAGGGATACTACAGGCTTTACTAGAGGGCAATTTACATTCACATACCTAGGGTGCCCTATTTTCTACACTAGAAGAAGGAAGGAGTACTATGATGATCTTACCAAAAAAGTGAAGGCAAAGTTACATGCTTGGAAAGGAAAATTGCTATCATTTGGAGGAAAGGCAACTCTCATTACTAGTGTTCTTTAAAGCATGCCAGTACACCTATTGTCAGTCCTGGATCCTCCTAAAAATATACTTTAGCATTTGCATAAAATCTTTACAAGATTCGTTTGGAGCACCAAGGAGGAAGGTAGGAGTAGGAATTGGTCATCCTGGCAGATTCTATGCCTATCTAAAGAAGAAGGGGGCTTAGGTTTTAGATTATTACAAGATGTCTCAATAGCTCTATTTGCTAAACTTTGGTGGAGATTTAGGACCACTAAATTATTGTGTTCCAACTTCATGTAGAACAAGTATTGTAAGAGGGATATGCCTACTGTTGTGCAATTTAGAGGAGGGTCTCATGTGTGGAGGCAAATGTTGAATGCTAGGGAATAAGTAGAGCATGAGATCATGTGGGAGATGAAGAGTGGAACAACCAACATATGGGATGAAAACTGGACTGGGCTAGGTGCTCTTTATCATGTTCTACCTCAGGATTTTCTAATAAATGAGGAGTTACAAGAGGTTGCAGAATTGAGGCAATGAGGATCATGCATTGACCAATTGATTGATCAAAGCTTCCCTAAAGAGATTGCTGATCATATAAGACATAATCTACATTATGATGGCAGTAAGGAATACTGGGATAGATCATACTAGACGCCTACATCATTAGGCAAATTCACTGTTAGTAGTGCTTGGAAAATTCTAAGGCATAGAGTTGATCCTAATCAGGAATTCAAACAAATGTGGACAAATGGGTTGCCATTTAAGATATCTTTCTTGTTATGGAAGCTATGGAGGCAAAAAGTAGCTATTGATGATCTAAGGAGGAGACAAAGGCAGATAGTTATGTCTAGATGTTGGTGTTGTCAGCATCCTCAGGAGGAAACATTAGAACATCTTCTTAACTAGCTCTACTGCATCAAAATTATGGAAGTAATTCATGGGAGCTGAAAGAATTATGGTACCATTACTACAAGTGAAACAAGTGATAAGGCATTGGTGGAGCGCAAAATGTTGTCCAAAGTTGAAACCACTGTTTCAAGCAGCTCCAGCCATCATTACATGGGAGTTATGGAAGAAGAGGAATACAGGAAAGCATGGGGATCTGTGTCAGCTAATAGGGTTATTCATGAAGTTAATAAGACATTGGATCAATTGGCAAGAGTTAGGTATTTATGGTTATCTCATATACCTATGTTATGGCCAGATACGATCCAATTCTTTGAAGCTTATAAACCAGTATTGGTCACTAGGAGAGTTACTTGGCAGCTCCCTCATCATGGGTCGTATAAGTGTAACACTGATGGAGCATCAAAAGGAAATCCTGGCCCTAGTTCACTTGGCTTTTGTGTGAGAAATGATGAAGGTGATTTAGTGTATGCAAGGGCAGTGGACTTAGGAGAGACCACAAATTTTGTAGCTGAAGCAAAAGCAATATTGCAAGGCTTGGAGTACTGTGTGGATGATCTTCATCCCCTAATATTCGAAACCAATTCTTTAGTACTAAAGAAGGTGATTGAAGGGGAATGGGATCCACCTTGGTCTATAGTTCCAGAAGTGCAGAAGATTAAGGAGATGAGGGATCATTTTAATGTGATCTTCCAACATGTGTTCAGAGAGGGCAACATAGTTGCAGATTTTATAGCTAACATTGTTTTCTCTTTTGTAGGTACAACTGAATTTCATTCATTTTTTGAACTGCCTTGTGCAGGGAGGAGGCTACTCAATCTTGAAAAAATACAAACTCCTAATCTCAGGGTTGTATCCACAAGAAATCATGCCTATAGGATTTAATTTGTTTGTATCATCATGTTTATCTAGAAAACATGCCTATAGGGGCTAAACGATTAAATTGGTTCCAAGCGCTAATCATTAGAGATCCTGTCTATAGGATATCATTATTCACCTTAATAATTGTTAATACCAAACTTCTCAACATTGTTTACTGCTCACTTAGGCCACTGTCAAAAAGCATGAATAATTATGGGCTTCTCCCAATAGATTTCACTGACCCTTATGCATAAATCGCTTAGACACACATCTATGGGTTTAATATCTGGAAATCAGTAATCTCAAATCAGCATGCAACATTCGATAATTATTTGGAGATGCGCAATGCCTAGCCTCTGAAACTACTTGTATGTTTTAATAGAAATCATATCTATAGGGCTTGAGGTTCTTAATTCTGAAACTGCCTAACATGAAAACCTATTTCGCGTGCGTTTGTTGCTTAAGTGTGGAGGTTAACTTGAGCCCTTAACTACCCATATTTGAAGTGCAATATGTTTTGTGTGTCGCCTACTTTTGACATTTCTGAGCAGCCTAGATAAGGTCTAGAACCACCCAAATAGAGGTACAATACCTTATGGACCGTAGGTATGGGACGGGTAGTGCACGCATAGAGCACGACTTAGAATTGAATTAGCGTGCTTCAGGTAAACGACTTTAACATAGTAATCGGGTAGCAGAAGATGATAGTCTGTGCCCGCTGAATAATATGAGTAACTCCCTACCTCAAGGGCGTTGCGAAGTATTATTTATGTTTCACGGGGTGATCCTTTAGGCTAAAAAACTTAGGACCCCCCACCCCTCCTTTATATGGTGCTATTAGATCTAAATAGTTGTATCACTATATTCGTACTAAGATCAGCACTAAGCATGCTGTAATAAAATTCTTTGACCTTTAAATTCCCTTTGTTTATTTGATTACTTAGCTTAATTGTAATCCATATAATCTTAAGTTCGGCCAGGACCCACAGTTGTGGACCTCGAGGAGTGCCTAACAACTTCTCTTTGAGGTAATTTGAGCCCTTACCCGATCTTTGATGGCATCGACTAGTCAAACTGAGTTATCTGCATAATAGGTGCCCTAACGCACCTTAAAAATCGTTAGGTGGCGACTCTTCTCCTTTAGAACTCTATCTCCCATCCAAAAGGAGTTGTCACGACGTCGAAACCCGTTTTTGCGAGAAAATGGGGCGCGACAATGTGTACATGTGTGCTGCTAGGATGTTAGACATTTGTATTGGTACGATTTCATACCCAATCTGGAGATGTAATGGCAGTACATATTGTTTGTACCCAATTTTTCCCTCATATATTTTTAAAATATGCACATATATTTTCAAATAGTGCACATGCATTTACAAACATGCACAAGTATTTTTATAATTTTTCTATAATTTTAAAGGGCTTTAAATCAATTCATTTCTGCATTTTTATCATACAAAATATCCAACAATTATCCCTCATATTATTTTTATGATGATTTAATCATCTAAACTCATCATTAATGCCCATATAGTGCTTAAATATTTTAATTGCATTTTTAAGGCTAGAATCGCACATTTTGCAATAATAACCGATATATATGCATAATTACATTATCTATACAGAAAATGATTTTATATTTTTATTATACTAAGTATTTATTTTAAATTATTTCCATGCACAAATGATATTTTTATCATTTATTAATTATTTTCTATAAATTATTTTAGTAATTTAAATGGGTATTTAAAACATAGCCCCTTTCCTAACTAATTTTCGGACTTACCTAGCCCAATAACCCAATACACTAACCCAACTACCCATACCCATACCCATCTAAATAACCCGCCCGGCTACTAAAACTTAATCCTGGCCGTTGATCTCAGAAGATCAACGGCCCCCAATCATCTGCCCGCTTTTAATTAACCAAACACCTAAACACTAATTCTTTCGCCCCAGCTCGCCGTCCTCTGATCCTCTCCTCTCCTCTCCTCTCCTCACCCCCTCAAACCCTAACCCGTCGTCACACTTTACCTCTGATTCATGGGATCTTCTCTTGATTCTCTGCCTTATTTG